CATTGTATATAGTTCCTGTTTATAAATGAAAAAAAAACAGAGAGGAATACATTTTATTAAATTCCTAAGAACTTTGCAACTATAGGTATGTATGTAGAATTTTGAATTTCCCTAGGTATTTTTATTTTATAAAAAAAATCATTACAAAATAAATAAATAAATAATAAAACGTAATTCAACTCACGAGTTTATCACGAGAAAACTTATCACCGCAATCAATTTTTAACTTTGTTAGAAACCGGCAGCGTTGAGAATTTGTTATTCGTTGAACGTAAATTATTTCTACTTTCTTACACTACAATCCAATAAAGTGGCTAATTTTTTTTCCCCAGTCGAATTTCTTCGCTTGTTCATATAATACAATATAATATATTCATTAGACTGAGTTAAATCAGTTTGGTTTGAGTTCCCGTTCGTTTGCGACGATCTTTATTAATTTATATCATAAATAAATTAAAGTGATTTGCATTCAACGAACAGTTTCAAAATCCTTTCGTAAGTTTTGGCTGTATAACAATATCATACGCAGTCGGGTTCAGTACCACGGAAACAGAAAGTACGTAATTATATTGATAAAAGCATGACCCCAGCCCACCTCCAAATTTGGATTCGACGCCAAGTGTACACGAAATGTCAGTAAGTCGAAGATCTATGTACGACATTAAATTATTTATTCAAGCTTAATAGGTTAATCGAAATCCATTCCTGCACAACATATCTATTGAAGTAGGTACTTACTTATTAGTAATATGAGGAAGTGACCCGATTGAAAGTCAAAAAGTCGAAAGGTAAGCGCCCGTCTACAATTCATCGTCTACATATTTTTTTAGATTCTGAGTGGAACGATGGATGTATTAATTTTACAATGATGTGTATTTTTTTATTTTTTTATTTTTTATTTATTTTTATTTTTTTTGTGTCTGTGTACACGATAAATAGTCGAAATAATAATGCTTCGATTTTTAACTTCAGTATCTTGTTCGATTGGAAAGTGAATATCGTTGGTGCATTGGGGAGGTCAACATTTAAATTTCCCAGTAGTTTTCAAAAGCGCCGGGAAAAACAAAAGAAAAATTAAGGAAAAACGGGAATTTTTACGCAAAATCTGTTTTCGAGATAATCGATTTTTGTTTTTGGTGTAACTTTAAAACAAATGACCGTAGATACATGAAATTTTCAGTGGTTGTTTATATTTGCATTTTCTATACATGATAACATTTTCAAAATATTTTGATTTATTTTGAACTGTTTAGGGACATTTTCAGTTTCCAATTTTATTAGTTTTTAGACGGATAGCTCATTTTGGTTTCGTCTTAAACAGTGATGATTGACTTGCTAGACACTTTAACATGCAGGTTTTTGCATTTTTTTTAAATTAATATATATACACTATAGGTACATGTTTATATGTATTGTATTGGTTAATATAATAATATGTATCTAACTATCTACCTATATGTTAATTTTTTTTAGAAATTATAATTGCACATATCTCAAAATGTTTATTGTTATATTATATCACACAATAAATACATATCATATTTGTTTGTATGTATATTGTATATAGTTTGAGTTTTTCGTAAATTATTTCGTAAGTTGTGTGATAGGGTTTTCACTTATAGCCGCTTGACGTCGGGTCTGCAATCCACCACAGGTGGATTGTCTACTTGATTTGCTGTAGCACATTGTCCGCGATCCGACGAAGTCGGATTGCCTACCTAAGTGGCTAACTTGAAAGTTAATAGATTTTGACTTGAGATGGCTGACTTGCTAGAAAGTCCAACACTATTTTTGACTTTACACTTTTTACATAAGATAAAGCACCGGTCATGCTACGGCACATACCACTCTATGTGCAGGTATGCTCTATATAGGTGATCCTGGAGATCGTATCCAGCCTATCCATTTACAACGTTTGTGACGGATTGCTAGACCCTCAAACTTTTAACATTCCCGCCCAAGCGTCTAGCCTTATCTCCAATCCATATCACTAATCCAGAATCCTTATCACAAATCCTATACTTTCGTATACAACCTTAGCGACTTTTATAATTCATTGTCTCCAAAATCGGTACCCACTCCCAGCGAGTCCAACGAGCCCCGAGTTACACTTAGAGCTAGTACGCTTCTAAAATATGTAAGAAATAATCATTATAATCAGTGGCGTAGCCAGGGGGGTGGCTAAGGGGGCTATAGCCCCCCCCCATTGACCGATGTTGACCTTAGAATTTTATCAAGATTAATAAAAAAAATTAAAAGCATAAATAAAAAACACATTGTATTTGTATACTTAGCCCCCCCCCATAAAAAATTCCTGGCTACGCCACTGATTATAATTATTGTGTAAAACAAGTTTGTTGAATTGAAATCTATAAACTTCATTCATCTAAACCATGTGATATGATTCCAATAGCGCTAAGACCGGTAGGTATCGTTTTGCTCGCGTAGGTTTTTATTCAACAAAACTATTTGTTAAATTACGATTCAATTGTACCTATCTGCTACATATTATAACTAACTGGCTATACAAGCTAACTATACCTACTGGCCACAATAGAAGCTATAAAAATAACACTACCCAATATCGTTTATTTATTTTTGTAAACAAACCATTATATGAAAATATCCATTATTAAGTGTTTAGCTCCACAGCAAAGTTCGTAATTTTCTGTACTTACGTCGTTCGTCTGTTGCAAAACCTTAAAGAGATGGAAGCCCACTTGGAAGTTTCAACATGCCTGCAGTGGTCGTGCCAATGTGCCAGCGAGGGTCATCGATGTGTTGTCGACACACTGGATCTGGCAGTCGATAGGCGGATCAAGGCCGTTTGTTTCCAATTGAGGCACAGACATTTTGGCGAGAGTTTCCGGTCCTCACCCGAGCTCAATATTGACTCACCAGTGTACTCGCGCCCAGACCTGAGAAGTCTGCAGTCACCCGTGTTGAAAGATGGAGTGGATACCGTGGTGGTTGCCGCCGCATCGACGTCGACTGGTTTTCCGGATTTTTCCGTGACTGCAGAGACGAAAGCCGTCAGTCTGGAAACGCAGCGACCTCCGGATGTCCGGTCATTGATCGCCGCGCTGGATTTGGCCGGCTGCCGTACGATCCCTCTGGCTGTCGGGCCACCGGTGCCTCTCGAAAATGCCAGGTCGTGCCCAGAGCTGAAAATGCAGTCACCTGTGTACGGCGGAGTTCAGAATACCGTCTCTACGGCACCAGTGGAAATCCTGGCACGGTCTGAACTCCGCAAATCCCAGTCCACCTGCAGCGAGAGTCGGTGCGTTGTCGACACGCTCGATCTGGCAGTTGACCGCAGGATCACGGTCGTCGGTCTTCCGTTGCGGCAAAGTCAAGGTGATAGTTCCCGGTCCTCACCCGAGCTCAGACTTGACTCGCCCGTGTACTCAGAGCTGAGAAGTCTGCAGGCACCCTTGTTGAACGACGGAGTGAATGACGTCCAGCCTGAACCAGCTGAAATGCCCCAGAAACCGGCCAGGTCTGAACGTCGCAAGTCCGCGTTTACAAGATCAAGATGGTTCATCTGGAAGGGTCTGGTAAACGCGGCTCGCAGACTTTGTTTCTGCCGTACTTTTGTGGAAATGGAATGAGCTAAATTACCATAGTGGTCGCGGCTGTGTTAACGGAAGTCAGTCGCCGATCAACCCGTTCGTTGTTGTTGCTATAAGCCTATATTCGTCTGACTCTATATCTTCATTCGAGTTAGTCGAATAATTAAGTATTAACTGTTTCCGTTTTGTGTTGCCGCTCAGTTACGTGTGCCTCAAGGGGCCATTGCGCTGTCGCCTTTTCCAGAAAGCTTATGCTTAAAGGGAAGTTGCAAACTTGTGTTATACATTTTTTTTTTTGCATATATTATTGAAAATTTACTAATATTATTCTATTCTATTATAATAAACCACGATTATATACCTACTAACATATTTATTTGTTGTATATATATTATTTACTATGGTCATTTTCTCCCTCAACTCTTGGAAAGTCGCAAGTCGGACTAATGTATCCTTATCAGGTTTGCGTTTATTTGTCATAGGTATTATTTTCACACTATTCTACTACCTATAGTGTTTTATTTGTTAAATAATTAATACAAAAGCCCCGTTTTCCGCTCCATAGATCGCGGTCGGTTTCATTTAAATATGTTAAGTCAAAAACTGAAATTGCACCTATATCTCCAGCCCACTATGTATAATAAATACGAATAATAGGTATACTTTTACTCTGGTATAATACTTATCGGCTACGGATTAGAGTTTTGATTTTACTTGAAAATATTATTGCAGTATAATATAATACGATTATTTGGTACATAACACGTCTCTTTATATTATTTTATAAAAAAAAAATATTATTTATATTGTTAATTAAAAAATAATAATATATTATACATATTATATCCCTTAGGGTGGTCCTTATTTTTTCAATGTGATTTTTTTAATACAGTACCCCCTTAATTTGTTAAGTTATATGAGTAAGTAATTTGGGTAAAATTTGGATGACCTCACTCAACCCCTTCTGGTGCCGCATTAGGGTTGAAATTTGGAAAAAGAGGGTAGTTTTTTGTTTTTTTTTTTTAATTCAGAAGGTATTGTATTTAACGAAAACGTGTAAAGAACTAAATTATAGATTTTAGCATTGTCTATAAAAAAGCATATTACGTAAATTCTCGTAAGTCCATTTATTTTTAAGAAAACTTATTAATTTATAAAATATTATATATATTTAACAAAATTGCATTTTTTTGGTTTTTTAAATATATACAACGTACGGTTGGATATATGACAAAATATGTTGAATAATAATTATACGGAATTAAATAATATAAAAAAAAGATTATATCTAAAAAAGTCTTAAGATTCTGTAATATACGTTTTGGTTTTATTTACTTGATTTTCTTTAATTTTTACAACATAAAAAAATAATTAAAAATAGGTATTATTTTTTTTCATCGAATTGTAGGTATAGTTAATTAATGCCACCTAAAATGGTTTCTTCAGCGTTTGTCTGTCACTTTGCAGATATTTTTTCCGGTAATCTTGAACAGTCTAGAAAATATAATAACATTTATAAGTTTAATTTATTTTTGAAATAGTAAAATTAATTACCTGTAATACATGTTGTTTTTGTTCTTCATTTTTTGTAAATTTCTTGTTATATTCTTCTATAAGCTTGACTCCCCTCTCAGCTGTATCATTCACGACTGTTAGTGAGTTTATAATGTTTTTTCCTATTATGTAGTCCTCGTGATTATTCCAATTGGCCGGATCAATAGTTAAAAACTATGTAGAAATTTGAAATCTCTTGAACATTCCAATCGATTTAGAGTTTATTAAGTCAATTAATAGATCTTTTTGTATAAAATGTGAAACATCTTCAAATTTAAGTCCTATTTTTTTTTTCAACTCAATTTCTTCCTCTTCATCGTTTATGCTTGAATCGTAAGTACTCAATATTCTCTCAGCCATTTTGAGTTTCGTACTGTGATCTACATGATCGTCAAATATCGAAAATGTAACACACTCTGGATTTAAATACCACAAATGATTTATTATTTTTTTTAATGCTACTTCTGCAACTCTTTTATTATGCAATTTATATTCTTCTAATTTTTTTAAAAATAAAATGTCATTAAGCGGAGCTTCAATTGCATTGGGTGACGAAAACCAAGCCTGAACGTAACATTTAACTATAAAACAACAAATATCTTTTAATGCCTTTTCTTCTTTGCTATTTAGTTTAAATTGATCTTTAAATATATATAGCTTTAAAGAATAAATGGCCTTAGCCATCCATCTGGCTAAATGGTATGGACCAGGCTGCCTAAAAGCAATTCCTCGAGGTGGAACACCGCCTAAAAATATAATAACGAGTTCTAAAAATTCTTGGTAATAATATCGAGGAAGACTATCGGTAATTTTTTTTTTTGCATATAATATAATTTCATCAGCGTCATTTTTTATATTATTTTGAATATAGATATCAGAAACTGAAGTGGAAAATTTGCTTTTATCAATATTTTCCCACGCATGTTGAAATCTTTTAAAAAGTAATATATCTGGTCCTGTCATAGGAAATAACTTTACTTCTAAAAATACACCTTAGTCAGCCGTACCGTGCGGTCGTCAATGCGTTAACATCGCTCTATTATCTGTACCTATTATCTTATTACCTACTTCGATATCTCACTAATAAACTTTATCTCTAATCTAATATCGTTTTTCTACCTACCTTTACAATGTCCAGTAAATGTATAAAATGTAATAAACATATAACTCACCTTGAAGACGTACTTCAATGCAGTTTATGTAAAATCCAAATCCACTTTCATTGCAATGGAATTTCCGAAACAGCCTTCAGAAAAATGACAAACAATACTAAAAAGCGTTTTACATGTACTACCTGCAATACTTTCAAAAGCCCAGCAACCTCCACTGAACCATCCAACTTATTGGAAGACAAGATTGAAGACCTAATAAAATCGGTAAGCTTTATGAGTCAACAATTCGATGAGTTTAATAAGAAAATCGAATCTATATTTAATGAAATAAAATTGGTCAAAATAGAAAACGAACAAATTAAAAAAGAAAATACCATATTATCCAAAGAGATAAGTGAAATTAGACAAAAAATTGACATTCTCGAACAACAAAATCTTGGGGCCAGCATTGAAATAATAGGCATACCAAAAACTGAAAACGAGAACTGCATAAGTATAGTCAAAGAAATAGGAAAAAAAATGAATATCGTCATTCCCGTCATAGAAGCTAGAAGAATTACTGCAGAAAAGTCCAAGTCAAATTTAATTATTGCTAAGCTAGAATCAAAGGAAATAAGAAGTCAACTTATACGCAAATCAAAAAATGAAAAACTTAACGCTAATATGTTAGTCAATAACTGGCCTACTGAAAATAAAATATTTATAAATGAACACCTCACGAAAGACAAAAGAATACTTTTCGCCAAGACAAGAGCAGCCGCCAAAGACAAAAAATATAAATTCACTTGGATATCCAATGCAGAAATCCTTACAAGAAAAGACGAAAACTCAAAAACAATGCGCATCAGAACCTTTAGTGACCTTGAAAAAATGTAAGTCAATAATATGTATTTATTTTTTTTTTCTCAACTTTTCTAGTATATATTTTTAATTAAGTTCCTATTTTTCTATGAATCCATTAAATACAATAAATAATATAACTACAAAAGAAACTGTGCCCTTATTAACTATTCAAGAAGCAAACTCAAATCTTTTCTCTGATAATTCAGGTCTAAATATTATGCACGTTAATATTAGAAGTCTTATAAAACACATATCTGATCTTGAATGCCTTAGTGCTGCTCTAAATAATAATAATCATATCATAATAACAACCGAATCATGGATAAGCGATAACTTTAATACTAAATTTATACCTTTTAAAAATTATCAGATAGTAGCCTCAATTAACAATGTGCGTAGAAGCGATGGTATACTTATTTTCATCAAAAATGAAATACACCAATCAAGTACCGAAATTACAATAACAAACGCAAATTGCATGCTTACTCTAATAACATACAAAAATATAAATTACGGAATTATATCTATATACAGATCCCCTAGTGGCAACTTAATTAAATTTATTGAAGAACTATATACAACAATCACTAATATTATAAATTCACATAAAAATACTACACTTATCTTAATAGGAGACATAAACATAGACCTCTTAGACACCACAAATTCAACAGCCGCTTATCTAGATTTACTAAACTCATTCGATTTTATTCAGCTTATCAACCGACCCACCAGACCTCAAACCAATACCTGTATTGATCATATATTTATTAAAGATAACCATAAACACTACAGTATACAAGCCGCAGTTTTAGACTCTCTTATTACAGACCATTTCCCGATAATTCTACGATTAGACAATAAAACTACAAGCGGGAAAAAAGCCTCAAATCAAAATACTTACAAATACGTTGATTTTAACAAACTTAAATTAATATCAAGCATAACTAATTGGAATGAAATTAAATTAGCTAAAACCGTTGAAGACAAAATATCACTACTTACGTCACTAATTCAAAATAACATAAAAAACTGTACTTCTATAAGACCCAAAAATAAAAACCAACTAAAACATTGGATCACTACTGGCATTATACAATCAATAAAAAAGAGAGACAAACTACATACTTTAACTAGACAACAGCCATTCAACACAGCTCTAATTGATAGTTATAAAAAATATAGGAATAAGCTTTCAGATATAATTACGAAACAAAAACAAAATTATTATAGGGAAGCAATCTCAAAAAACAGCAAAAATATAAAAAAGCTATGGTCAACAGTTAAAGATATAACAACCCATACTGAACACAAAATAACTAATTATAATATAAACATTAAAAATAAAATACATGACTCCAACTTAGACGCTACCTTAATTGCAAACACATTCAACTCATACTTTATCTCAATGGGAAATCCTAATAACGTAAATTCTAATAAAAAACAATGCCTTTCTGTCAATAACAATTCCGCTCAATCACTATACCTTAGAATGACCACGAAAAAAGAAATTAACCACACTATTAATAACATGAAAGGGGACTCGGCCCCGGGCAAAGACGGAATTACTATAAATATTGTAAAACATATTAAAGAATCTATATCAGATATCCTAGAACATATATTTAATACAATCTTAGTGGAATGTAATATACCGAATTCATTCAAAACCGCTTTAATCACACCTATACATAAAGGTGGAGATAAGTCCGATATTACTAATTATAGACCGATCAGTCTTCTGAACGTTTTTTCAAAAATATTCGAAAGAATCGTAAAAAAAAGACTTTTAACATACCTAGAGGAGAACCTTATTCTACCTAAATCCCAATATGGTTTCAGAGAAAATTTAGGTACTGAAGATGCACTAGCCCAAGTCTCCAAAGACTTATATACCAATCTAGAACAAAAAAACAAATCTTTAGGAATATTCATGGACCTGAGTAAAGCATTTGACAGCATCTCACACGACATACTATTAAGTACCCTACAATCAATAGGTATAGTTAACAAAACTTACAGACTTTTTGAATCCTACTTAAATAATAGAAAACAGCAAGTACAAATAGGTAATACCTTAAGTGACGAACTTATAATCTATAATGGAGTTCCCCAAGGCACTGTACTATCGCCTATATTATATATAATATATGTAGCAGAACTAGGGAATATAAATGCAAGCATACACGGCAAACTTTTTTCATATGCTGATGACACGGCTCTGATAATATCAGAATGTAGTTGGGAAAAGGCTTATCAACACGCCGAGTCTGACATGTTTACTATTAACAAATGGTTTTATAAACACAATTTGCGACTAAATTTTAACAAAACAAAATTTGTAACATTTACACAGGACAAAAGAACCCAACCGTTAATAAATGAAATTAAAATACATAATCCAAACTGTAAAACTCAGAACAAAAATGACTTGTGCGACATAATAAAAAAAACTGACAATATTAAATATCTAGGCATAATATTCGATCAACATATGAAATGGGATATTCAAATTCAAAATTTAATAATACAAATGCGGAAACTTAATCACTTCTATATAAACGCTAAAAAAATACTCGATAAATCTATGTTACGTATGGTCTATTTTGCAATGACCCAATCATTATTACAATATGGCATTACCGCCTGGGGCGGACTTGGAATAGTGGCGCAAAACAAATTATTAACAGCACAAAAAAGCATTTTAAAAATAATTCTAAACAAATCTAAAACCTATTCATCAGAAAAAGTTTTTAAAGATATGAATGTCTTCGACGTAAAACAATTATTTTATAAAAATGCATTATATTTTACATATAAACTAAAATTAATAGAATTTAAACAAATCACGCGGACAACTCGCCAAAATAACAAAATAGCTATTCCTATAATTAAAACTTTAAAATCCAGTAGATACTTCGGTAAAGTAGGCCTTGAACTCTTAAATAACGTTCCTCTTCATATCTTAAACAGTCAATCATACTCAAAATTCAAACTTCTTATAAAAATATGGTTAAAAAATTCATACGACATAACTTAATTTTTCTACTTGTTTTCTATTTATCAGTCTGTACTATATCTTTCTCGCATATGTAAATCAAATAACCTCTACCCTTTCTTTTCCTTATATATTATCTCTATACTTGTGTATTAATATTTTTTTTCTTTTTGTTTTTATTTTAACTTCTTTAATTTTTTCTTGTTCAAATAAATTTTAATGTATAATTAATTAATTAATTTGTAAGACTCCAACTCACCAATACGAGGTTTCACCTCAGTGGTGAGTTGGGCCAAATATTTCTGTTATTATATATTTCAGTTACTATTTTAGTAATTACATGTTTTTGTGTAACATTGTTACTATTAAATTGCATGTTTAATTGTTTTTTTATGGCCAAATAA